GGGGGCGGAGCCGCCTCTCGACAAACAGCCAATAGGACGCGACGCGCGCCCGGGGGAGCCGCGCGCGTCAGGAGTGGGGCGGGCTCTGTGGTGGCTGCGTTGGCAGCTGGCCACAAACACAGCTGTTTGGGGCTGAGGTGGCAGATGGTAGCGGAGGCAAAGTCAGAGCGGGAGAAGAGTGATGAATGGACCAGCGAGACTTGCACACTTGGGCCGCCGCGAGCGAGTTCTCAAGTTAGGCGAGAGTTTCGAGAAGCATCCGCGCTACGCCTTCCACACTGTACGCTGTGAGTGAGGGCTGCGCCGGGGACCCACGGGGGCCTCCCGGGATGGCTTGAGGAGTTCTGACTACAGCCCCCTGGTCTTCTGGACGTGGGGTCTGGGCAGGTGATCCGCCGTCCTGTCTAGAGTCCTAGGGTCCGTGCAAGGAGCTGGCGTGCAACAGGTGTGGGTAAACCCTGGGTGAGGCCACAGACGGGAAGGGAAAGTGCGGGGGTCTGCAGGCGTGACAGGCGATAACGTGACGGGAGGATGCGCAGGTGCAAGGGAAGGTAACGTGATGAATGAAGCAAAGGGCCAAATGCAGGGCGAAGGCAAGGCTGGTGGGGCAATATCCTCTCTCTTCGCTTTTTCTCACATCTGATGATGAGGGTTTTTATTTAATGTGTTCTTGGGAAGAGATTCTCAACCATTCCAATAATCTATCTCATTTGGACCCCAAATTTCATTGTCAAGTACTGATTACTAAAGTACGTGTTGGTATGTGTTAATTCCTTTATGTGGAAGATTTTACCTCTCTTTAGTTTCTACCTTTAATTTTCTTACGTTCTCTGGAACTAATTTTAATAAATTATTTGCTTTTATATATTGTTGAAACATAGATTAAGAAGCTCTTGATTTAGCAATTGAATGGCACAGATTCCAGAAAGAAAAATAATAACATGTATTATTTTCTGTGTAAAACGTTCATTTTTTGCATAATAGCCCTGGTAGAATTCTAGGTAGGAAGGAAACTTTGAGACTATAATCTCTCATTTTTCTGTGGCAAATTTATAAAGTGGTTATTTTTTCACTTCCTTTCTCCATCCAGCTGCCCCCCGTTCCTGTCTGTCTCATGGTTCCACCTTTCTCATTCTGTCAGGATGTCCAAAGACGTTTTATGACTTACGCTCTGAAACATTTCATGGTTCAATCAAAACATTCAATTTGAAAAATCACAGACTCCAAGGATACATTTACATTTTATAAAATGGTTTTATTAAACAAAAGTAATATCCATTTGGTTGAATATATGGGGGAGACATTTGCCAACAGATGCTCTACTGTGTCCCTTGTTCATACTTTTTTTGTGTGACCCTTCATTGTCATCCAAAGTTTCCCACAGTGAGACACCTAGTGTGCTGGCTCTGTTCACTAGTTCTATTCTCCAAAAGTAAGATTTGGTTCTCACCTGGTTTTTCCATGCCCTTAACTCAGCTAGTATCTTCTTTCTTTTCCCCTTCCTTCCCAAGTATGCAAAAAATTTAGTACTATTTTCTCAGGTCACAAGGTTTAAAATTATAAAAATTTTCCCAAGAACATATTTTTATGTAATTTGGATATACATATTCTTACAGACATGATTTCCAAATTAACTGAATGAAAAGTAGCTTTTGAAAAGTACCTTACAGGTACTTAAAAACTTTTCATTTGTAAGAAGTTTCTTAAATACTGGAATCATCTTCACCATCAGAGTCAGAAGATGGAGCTGGAGAATGACAATGAGATAAAACAACAACAGTAATAACCACAATAATAAATAAATACATGTAGATGTTTGAATGATAAGCAATAATAAAACTAGATATTTGAATACACAGACCTATAGAAGACTTTAGAAAGGTTTTGGGGGTCTTTCTGTTGTGGTTGAACAGGTATACTAATGGCGCAGAATCATTTTGTATTTTTAAATATAAAACCTGTCCTTATCTTTTCCAATGTGATCATTTGCATTGTGGTCCTTGCTCTTTTTGTTTGTTTGCTTGTTTGTTTTGAGACAGGGTCTCACTATGTAGTTGAGACAGACCTGGAACTCACTATGTAGTCCAGGCTGGCCTTGAACTCACAGCGATCCTCCTGCCTCAGACTCCTGAGTGCTGGGATTACAGGCATATTCCACCAGGCCAGGTGGTCCTTGCAGGCCGTCCTGGCTCTTAAAACACAGAATGAGGAATGGAAACTGTAAAACAGACACTGACATTTATATAGGGTAGATGAATATTAATTTATAACAAGCACTCAGGCCAATGTAATTTGAGAGAAATCATTTTCTTTACATACTGGCACAGTTTTGCCTATCAGTAATGTTAAGGCTTCAAATAAACCTGTTTGTGATCTCTTTCTCTCTCTCTCAACAGAGATTTTAAGCAATAATACATGCATGGCCCAAGAGAACAATAATATATATCGACATATTTACCTGTTATGTATCAATATATATATATATATATATATATGAGCAATTATGTATGTTATTGCTCAGGATTTCTCTAAATATTATTGCTCTCTCTCTCTTTGTATACATTATTGCTCAATATGACTTTAGGAATGTGCTAAGCTCTCATTCCAGTTTTCTTATGTGTGAAATGATAATAATAATATCTGAATTTTGGTATGGATAAGTAAGAGCACAAACCATCTAGCATTATATTTGACACATGGTAAAAAGTAAGTAGCAGTCACAGTTAGTTTTGAAGAGTTATAGTCATGTGTGTATGAAGAATGCCAGTGAATGTAATTTACTTAAACTTTTAAAAAGCATGTATCAAAACTTAGCAATAAGACCTGTCAAAAAAATAATCTTGCCTGTGGTATGGAGGGCACAGGATGTTCTGACAATGATAAACTAAATGCTTAGCAATACATGATTCACCAGGTAAAGGAGTTGGAATAACATGACTCACTAGAATTAATTTTGTCTTTGGTCTAGTATTAGGTCTAGTATTATATTTGGATAAAGGTTAATAAACAGTAAAATACTAAGTTTTTGATGACATCAGTTTTTTGCTATTGCAAAATGATGAGCAGTGAGCACAGAAATGCCTTTTTATAGTTCCTTAAGTGCACCCATTCTCTAAAAAATAGTAAAGCTTCATTGTGAGAAAATATTAGAAATTATACTAATGAAAAATAAGATTAAAATTATGTTTACAGTTAAGATTTTCTGACAAGTATGATATCTTGGAAAGTATGGGTTTAGAGTTATTTGAATTAGTTCAAATTGTAGAAAATGAACTGATGCTAATTATGGATTCTTTTGTGACGATATTGACTTATGATTTAGATCAAGAAGGTCATAGGGGGCCAGGGATTCAGCTCAGTAGTTCCGCTGTCTGCCTCGCAAGCACGAGGCCCTGAGTTTGAACCCCCGGTACACACACACACAAAAAAGGAAGGTCACCCACAGCTGACTTGCTGTGAGGAGATGGAGTCAGGTTGGAGTCAGGTCCTTTTGACCTGGAAAGGTTTATCTCCCTCCCTAGCCCCTCCTTTCTCTCTCTACCTCTTGTTACCTTGCTTTGAGCAGCTTTCCCCACCTGGCCCTTCCTCATTTTGGTTTCTGCCTTGGCGCCTGCCACCAAGGACTGAAACCTCTAAAACTGTCAGTCAAAATAAACCTCTCCTCCTTTAAGACATGGGTGTTGGGATACAGTTTCAAATTAGGAAATTGACAACACTGTGACATTTTGTATTGCTCAGCTGAAACAATCACAATAATGTTAAACATTAATAGAAAAGGGTTAAATATAAACTAGAAAATGTTTTATTCTTTGTGCAGTATATTAAGTAATTACATTATAAAGCTGAAGAAGTAATATTAATAGAAGTCTATAGTTCAGAGGAGAATAAATACATTCAGAGCAAATAGTAAAATCAGTGGTAGGTTTCCAAGGAAAAATAAAAAATAAACTAGATAACTTAGAAAATAATACATTTGACATTTAGAGCATATGGAAAACATGAATATGAAGTTATTCAAATTCCTTAATTCTAGAAATGTAACCTCCCTGAAACTTAAACATTTTATAATTAAAACTTGTTTGAGGGCAAATAGACAATATTATTTGACAAAGCAAGTAAAAAGTGAAATGTATTAATCCTAACAGTAGGATAATTAGAAATATAAATTGGTTCAGAATAGTTTTGATAGTTATTGATAATATTTGGGCTTTTATTAAGTAAAGATATAGACCTTTTGAGTACAATTCTGTCTTGCAGTTAATCTCATGTACTGTATATATCTACATAAGCTGCAGGGGCTTGTAAATCCTTTGAAATTATACAGTATTTGATATACATGTTCAAATATGCAATTTTCTGTGGAAATGATCTGTAACTGGTCTATAATCTTCATCAGGTTCTCACAGGAAATCATAACTATCCATCATTTTCTAAAACTGCTCCTTACAAAAGTTAACTATGGATATAAGGCAAAAAGGTTATATAATAAGATGGATAAAGTGTGTGGTTTAGATTCCTGACTTGATCATTTAATGACTTACTATGTAGATTGATATGGGTTTTAAAATGGCTTCCATATTTTAGAAGTTTTTAAACTTGTTTAGTATGTGACATCTTAGTACCCTAAATTCTTTCTAGTTGGTAGGTTTTAATAGCATTATTTGATTTAATTCAAAATTAAAGATTTTTTTAAAATCTTGAAGTGGCAAATTCAGATTTAGTTAAATCTATACTTTTAGCAGTAGCAGTTTTTTGTTTTTTGTTTTGTTTTGTTTTTTGGTGCTGAAGATAGAGTTCAGGTCCTTGTGTTTGCGAGGCAGGTAGCAGCACCACTGAGCTAAATCCCTGCCCTAGTAGCAGTTTTATTAAAGATAAACAAACAGGCTCTTCAGAGTGAGTTTGGGCCAAGTAAACGTAGGAAAAGAAATGCACTCTGCATGAAGTGTATAAGGGCAGACCACGTGTAAGAGTGAACACAGTGGCCTACACATTCTTTAGTGGTATAATTATCCATAAAAAATTCAAACTGTTAAAAAGATAACTTTTTCTGAAGTTTCTCTATTAATACTTTGGGAAACTATAAGAATATTTTGTGTATTTATGAATTTATTCTGCCAGAATGGCAAACAAGTGATACTAGATGCCAAAGGTGGTTCAAGAAAATTATGGGAAGTAGGAAGGGGGACAAGGAAGGGGAGAGGGGAAAAGAAGGAAGGGAAAAGAAAAACAAAAGAGAATAGAAGAAAAAGTGGAAATAAAACTTGTAAGTGAGGAGAAGAAGGGTTGAAGGAAGGAAAGGGGATTGAGGAAAGAAAGAAAAATAAAGATATATTATGTACAGGTACAAATTCCCTACAATGAGTGTGATCACACACATATACAGAGTGTACCAATAAAATTATAAAAAAGAAAATTAGGGGAGACCAAGACTGAAAATTAAAAATGTTCTGTCTATATTAGTCTTTCAGCAAGTTATGTAAACACTGACATTATTTACCTTTTAGCAATAGAGCATTTTAGTTTAGTTCACTTTAAACAGAATTCTAATTTGAATAATATTGTTTTGAAAAATATTGTTTTAGAATACAGCTATTTTTTTTCATAGAGTTAAGCATACAAAAATAAAGTGGGACCTACATTTGTGGCACACAGTAGTGATTCTAGCACTAATAAGCTTGAGTCTAGCCTGAGAAACAAGTAACTTAGGCCCTGTCTCAAAATTTAAAAATTTAAAAAGGGCTGAGGATATAGCTCAGTTTAAAGGCCCTAGTTTAATGCCAGTTATGACAAAAAGAAAAAAAAACTGGGTTGCATTTTATTTTTTAATTTTTTAAATTTTATTTTTAATAGGAAGACTCCTAATCACTTTAACTGCTGATTTCTCAAAACTACTTAGCCCTCTGAAATATGCTTTTTTATATCAAACTTATTGCTCTATTTTATAAAAAAAACATATTAGAGAACCTCTAGAGGTTTGTAAGCAAAGAAGTAATATAATGAGATTTGTAGTTTTGGAACACTTTTGGAATATAGGTTGAATGTAACCTTTTCTAAAATGCTTAGGACCAGAAGTGTTTCAGATTTCTGAAGTTTTTGAATTTTAGAATATTTGTATATCCATAATATTTTGGCATGTTTAAGTCTAAACACGAAATTCATTTATCTATATACAATTTATACATGTAGCCTGAAGACAATTTCACATAAAATTTATATCCATTTTTAGATGACTTCAAACCTGCTTCTATTGACACTTCTTGTGAAGGACACCTTGAGGTTGGCAAAGGTGAACAGGTGACAATAACTCTGCCAAATATAGAAGTAAGTATTTCTATACATTATCATTAAAATGATTTTTTTGGGGAGGGCAGAGGTAAGGGGAAAAAAATGAGAATCAAGACTTGCCATGTAAAGGTACATGATCCCAACAATGAATGTAACTGTACTGTATCCCTAAATGTACCAATAAACTCAATTAAAAAAAAAAAAAAAGATTTTTTTGGCTGTATTTCCACTGAATGTAAATGAAAACAATTGCACAGTTCATGTAGTAATGGTTAATTAATTAATAAGCACAGAAGAGCAAAAATCCATATCTTCAATTACTTTGAATGAAACAATTTAAAAATACTGTTACACATTTCTAAATCTATTTAATAATTTTAAGAATTATCATAGCAAATGATTTTTTAAATGGAGAGCTAAACAAGTATTTATTAAATTCTGATTATGAGCCAGATTTTATTTTTAGAAGTAAGGACAATATATGTTCCTAGCCTTCTAGTTCTAATTTCTTATAGCATGCAGACACAAAAATATCTAGTGGTTTAAATTCATGAATATAAAAATTCTGTGTGAGCACATAAATGGAATCAAATACTCTGATGCCATCTCAAAGAGCTTCACAAAGCAAACAACAATTGAGCTGAGTCTTTAAAGTACAAGTGGCATTTTAGCAGGTAGACAAGAGTAGGATTCTCTCATTAAACAGAATAGTATGTGAAATTCTCTAATACTGAAAGAACAAGAAGTTTGTGGAACAAATAACTTTATCTTAATCACAGTATAATGGAAAATGATTAGGCATAGAAGTTAGAACAGTAGCTTGGGATCAGAATGTGAAGGATCTTTATGGTATAATATAGAATTTGGATTTTATCTTATAGATATTCAAGAACTATCAGAGTTTTTTAAGCAAAAAAATAAAATGATTCGATTTGTAATATTGGAGGGATTTCAGAGTATCCCTTATCCAAAACACTAGGTACCAAAAGTGTTTCAGATTTCTAAATTGTTTGAATTTGGGAATATTTGCACTTGTGTAATGTGATATCTTGGGGATGGGACCTAAGTCTAAGTCATTTATCTTTCATGTACACCACATACACATAACCTGAAGGTAATTTTATTTAACATTTATAATAATTTTTTTGTATGAAACAATTTCAGAGTGTAGAACTTTCCATTTGTGGTGTCATATTAGTGTTCAAAAAGTTGTGGATTTTGGGTTTTCAGATTAGGGATACTCAATCTATAGTTTGAGAAATGGGTTATAAAAAAAGACACTAGGAGAAAGGAGAAAGACACTACCCTAAAGGTGTTGGGAAGGTGGGATGGGTAGGGGAAGGGTAATAAGGGAAAAGAAAAAAAAATGTGAGATAATGAAAAGAAGGAAATAAAGTGTTTGTAGATGAGGAGGGGAGGAGGGGGTGAGGGGAAGGCAGGGACAAGGGGTAAAAATGAGAACCAAGACCTGTCATGTAGAGGTACAAGATCCCAACAATGAATGTAACTGTACTGTATCCCTAAAATGTACCAATAAACTCAATTAAAGCTGAAAAAAAAGGACACTAGGTCATGGAGGCCTTAACCAAAAGTTTTGACCATTTTAAAGTTTCCAAATGTATCCAGAGAGTAATTGCATAAAATACAAGTTACGTGTTACATGGTCTAGCTTTCTTAGTCCTTGAGTTAGAAAGTTTTTAGTATTCAGATTTTTTATTTTATTTTATTCTGACTTCATCTATCCTTAGAGAAAACCAAGATTATAACTGTGTACTTTTACATATAAAGAAAATCTTAAACTATTTGAGATTTGAAGGAAATTTTTATAGTAACAATAGTTTTGTGCTAATCTCTTCACATTTTCTCTTAAGCATCAATGAGATGGCTTTGGTAGAGTTATAATAAGCTCTTCTTCCTCTAGACTTTTTTTTTCTTGTTTTTATCAGTCAGCACCATTTACTGAGACCTCAGTATTATGTTACACTGTAAATACTTCCTAAGGCTAACTAAAATCTAAGGGGCTTCTCATTATTTGTCATTTGCTTCCTTAAAAACTGAAAGGAAAAAGCAGATCGGTATGAAGTGTTATGGATAACTTAATGTTTGCATTATTATTTTTTGGATGTTTGTTCAAAATCTTATGCTTCTAAAATAGTTTGAAAATCGTCTAGTTTAAGAGAAATTGATTAACTCTTCAGTGCAAAAATGAGTTAATGATTTATTGTATATTTCAAAATAGTCAAGAGGCCTTTGAATGTTCCCAACACAAAGATATAAATTTTGAAGTGAAGAATATGCTAACTACCCTGATTTGATCATTTCACATTGTTTATATCACATTATACTCCATAAATATGTGTAATTCTTATTTGTCAATAAAAATAAAAAGATTAATATGTGAAAAAATAGTTTGGAAATTTATTCTGCAATAACTGTAAGGATTCTATCCTTTATGATATGTACTTAAAAATAACTTAAATCAGTCACATAGTTTTTTTTTCAGCTTTAATTGAGTTTATTGGTACATTTTAGGGATACAGTACAGTTACATTCATTGTTGGGATCTTGTACCTCTACATGGCAAGTCTTGATTCTCATTTTTTCCCCTTACCCCTACCCTCCCTTCACCCCCTCCTCCCCTCCCCATCTACAAACACTTTATTTTCATCTTTTCTATATCTCACATTTTTTTCTTTTCCCTTATTACCCTTCCCCCACCCATCCCACCTTCCCTACACCTTTAGCTCCTTTCATCTCATTTCTAAATGACAGTAATCTTATTAGGATCTTATGTTTTATTGCAGATTATTCACTCAGTCACATAGTTTTAAAAGTTATTGGAAATCCTTAACCTGACAATGGGAACCACCAGCCTATGATCTTAGGCTACTGGTACCAACCTATGACATGTGTTACTGTGTTTTTCTTTTGAGATGAAAGATGTTAATGTAGAGTTGTTTTTTTTTTTTTCTAAAGTAAAACCTCAGTGTTAAGGTTTAAATGAAGTGTTGGCACTTTGTGATAAATGTGAGTTTTGGATTGCACTTTGACACTCACTCTCTAAAAGGTTCACCATACCTGTCTTAGATAATACTATTATTGATCAGTAATGGTTAGTTTGCAGAAAAACTTCAGTTGAATTCTTCCTTGCCATTAGATTCTTATTTTCTCAAATTGCAATCCTCCCATCCTCATCTTTTTCATTGCTCTTCTAAAGGAAATGTGGACTCTTTCATGTATTAATAAACCTTTTCAATTCACTCTTATCCTGCTTAACCAAGAGTTACTGTGTACCATGTGTTTGATTATGGTCTCAATTGAAATACTTCTTAAAGAATGACAGTTCTGTCACATCTTGGGGAGGGGTATACACCACACTACTCCACTGCTCTGCTGGAATACACAGGGATCCTTCTGGGATTGTAAAACTCTCAGTCTCAGTAATGAACTAAACAGGAAGAATTTTAAATAAGAAAGTTTATTTGAAAAAAAAGATGGAAAAGAAAGTGATAACAGGATATGATACAGGAGATGAAATATAAAAATATTATATCTCCAAACCTGTTAGATGTCTGATATGCAGAGTTTATGTTCTCTAAAAATCGAAGAATGAATTCTAGTAGAAACATATTTATTGATAGAATAGCTCCTGAGAGGCAAGAGGGGTCTCAAATGGGTAGCTGGAGATCCCATTTTACAAGGGAGTTTTATAGAGTAAAACCCACGTGGGTGCAACATGGGTTACAACTATGATTAACCAATAAGATTACAAGTATAGTAACTTAGGTAATAGTGATCCTGTTGGGAAACAAGTCATATAACAAGTTTGCTTGGAAAGACAAAGATTTCTAGGGCCAGGGATTTAGCTCAGTGGTACCACTGCCTGCCTCACAAGTGCAAGGTGCCGAGTTCAATCCCTGGTACCAAAAAAAGAACAAAGATTTCTAAGAAGTGATGGGTCTAGAGGTGTTTGGTCACTCACCAGAGTGACTGATGTCAATCTAGGCTTCATTAGGCCCTTTTAGGAAGTATGCGGGCTTAATCATTTTGTCTTTATCTTGAGGCCTGGTCTCCAGCAGATGTGTCTCCAGCCACAGTTGTGATGTGTTTTTACCTTTGCCCTGACTTTCTCAAGAATCTAGAACTATCAGACTGCCTGTAACATTTCTGTCTAATTTAGCTGTCTGTAATAAAAGGAGATGGACACCTACCTTCAGAGGGAAAGGGGCATCAGAGATATGGTACCATGTAATGTTCAATACCTGTTTACATTATTTATCTCCTCAAACATTTATCATTTCTTTGTAGCAAAACTTTCAAAATCACTTTTCTAGTTTTTTGAAATTTATAATACATTATTGTTTTCTGTAGCTACAATACTATGTAATAGTACATCAGAGCTTCTTGCCCATCTCTAACTGTTATTACCTATTGATGACCATCACTGCCCTAACTCTGCCTGCCTTTTGGTAAGCACCGTTCTACTCTCAACTGCTGTGAGATCAACTTTTTTAGACTCAGCATATGTGTTAGGTTATATGACACTTTTCTTTCTGTCTGAGTTATTTCACTTAATAATCTCTAGTTACATACATGTTGCAAATGGCAGGATTTCATTCTTTTTTTAAATGAATGAATAGTATTCCATTATGTATATGCACCACATTTTCTTTATCCATTCATTACTTGGTAGACACTAAGGTTGTCTCAATTTTTCGGCTACTATGAATTATGCTATAATGAACATAGGCTTGTATGTGTCTCTTTAACATATTGATTTTATTTCCTTTGCATATTTAACAAGGAGTGAGATTGTTGGATTCTATGGTAGTTTCATTTACAGTTTTTTGTATAATCTCTATACTGCTTTTGTATAATGCCAGCACTAGTTCATATTTCCACCAATAATGTAAATTTTAGTGTGATTTTGATTTTCATTTCCCTGATGATTACTGATATTGACTATCTTTTCATGTCCTCTTGGCCATCTGAATTTCTTCCTCTTTTTAAAAATTAATTTTATTGGTACATTTTAA